AATCGCTTTGAAACTGAAATTAAAGTTTTCACAGTCATAAACACAGAAGCATGGCTCTTCTCAATCTCACACTGTTATGAAGGCATGGCCGTGTCTTTAATTTTCAGATGAAATCTTTCACTACAGCTTTCTATCAGGACATTTTTAATTATAGTAGGTACATTGAATGTACTTAATAGAGACTTTGCGATATTCTACCATTCACCGAAGGTACATACTCTTAATGTTACTTTCGTTCTCTCTAGAATGCGATTGTCTAGTGAAACTTCTCGACGTGGTACAGATGATCGCCACAGCGATGAATGAGCACCTGACCTGAGCGCATGACCGGTATTTTTAGAAGTTACTACTTGAATACCGACGCCAACGAGCCGGGCTGTCTGCCACCTCTCCTGGCGGGGACTTGAATGTTTGAACCTCTTATTCATAAAAACTGTTACTTTTAACACTAATAAGTAAACTGTGATTGTATCTCAGACAACCTAACTCTCGATGCCTGTACTGCAAGTCCTATTGGCAAGACTTATACCTTCAGCCGCTAAAGAAACCCAAACAAAATTAGAGAATTGAGATATTAACACATATTAATAAATCCCTGGTCTATTTGTTAGTTATTGGGACTCTCTTGATACGGAAATTGTTGGTCCGATTGTCTAACTGTTCCTGTAGAGTCAATGAAGCTATTTTTTAAATTATTACAGTCAAAAATGATACAAAAAGATGACGAGTTAAAGAGCAAGAGAATAAATCATTAGGTGTGTAAATAAAAGGATGAAAATAATCAGTCAACCTAAAGTCAAAATAGTGTTTCTAGAAAGACGAATTATGCAATAACTAATTAGTGCATAGTTAAGGAACGTGACTGGCAGAACCAGTCAAAACAATGTGATAGAGCGCATTAATAGCTAATAACTATAAATACACCTGTGTTGTCTAGTGGAGAGTAGGTAGGACCCTCTCGCTTCAAAGGTAGAGCCGTAGATCGGACGCAAATAATGGCCAATACACTCTTTACCCGACTGGTTTAAGATTAGGCTTGAATCTGATGAAATTGGCTTCAATTAAATTTAAAATAAAAAATTAAACGTGAACGTAGAGTGGTAGAGTCGACTTCGATATACTATCTATATTAGGGTGGTCCTTATTCTTACGAAAAAATTTTTTTTTCTTATATTTTGCGGGGCACCACGTAATTTGAATATATACCGTATGAAAGTCTTTCATTATTTTTTTTTTTTTAATTTTTAAAAGACATTTAGGGGTCGCTACCAAGGTTTGAATTTTAAGTAAAAACAAAATCTGTATTTGTTAGATTCATTTATTTTTAAAGCCAAAGCCAAATAATAATATTACAAAATTATTGTTGTTGCTATGAACTAAGATATTATGTACAATGTACATAATTTGAATCAATTATTTTTAAGATATAAGAGTTTACTTGTTAGTATCTCGACGCGTCGCGTCGGTACCATGGTCGGTACAGAAGAGGGGTTGAGGGGAGAAGGGGACAAGAAGCGATTGTCTATTCTATCTATGCGATGTTCATTTGCACGTAAAATGTGATATAAACACTTAAATAAAACATTTATGAAACCATGATTTAAGATCTTCAAAGCTTTTGTAAATATTTTGACAGCTGGTAGCGACCTCTAAATCTTAACCAAAAAAAAAACAAAAAGAGCTAATTTCATATTTAGAGGTATATAATCGAATAAGAAAGTGCCCCGGGGATAATTCAAAAGTCGAAAAATAAGGACCACCCTAATCTATATCCAAATTATCCATATCGGATAATACCTTATATCGGATGGTGCCCTCATGAAACGCTGCGTCTATTAGTTTGCGGTCATTATACTAACTCTATCCTTCTAAACGGCATTATAGCTTGATCACAACTTTATAAGATTTACTTTCCTAACCCGTTTTAAAGCAAAAGTTACTAAAAGTCAGTATGAAAACTGTACAACTTTAAACATAAGTCATTGACTTGAACCGTAACCATCTGTGAGCTTTTGTGAACACGTCGCTACGACACCATTGTCGAGTCAGTGACGTCACGACTTCGTGACGCGCACCATGCATGACGTATCGCATTTTCATTCCTAGAATGTACGTTTTATATGCTGTTTTAATCAGTTATTTCTGCGAAATTAATTAATAGGATGCAAAAGCTCGTTAAGCTTAACTGCAGGGTAGGACTGTGATTACCTTGCAGGCGATTCGTTCGAAATTGTTGACGGAGTCACAGGATTCCTGTGACTTCATTAGTACGAGCACGTCATAATTATTAAGTTAACTACTGATTCAAATCAAATCACTTTATTTCGCTTGAAAGTGGTACATTTTAACCCCGTAGCAGCTTAAACAAGTTAAAGGGGATAATTACAACTTAATGCAGCTTCGAATCAATCTATTTATAGTGAAATACTAATTATTCACAATACATGAACAAAATACGAAAATATACTTAAATATTAAATATCAACAATTTAATTGACACCTAATTATTAGGTTAATGACAACAATTATTTATTATTAAGTTTTATAAATAACAAGCAGGCATAATTTGCTAATCGATGCTGTGCTAATTAATCACTTAAGTACTTACTTAGATCTATTTAATTTATAAATAAAAATACAATTACTTAATTGATACTTAACTGCTCTTAATGTTGTTTTACGTAAAAGTCGAGTCTAATAACGACGTATCACTTTTTAAAGAAGAGTTGGAGAAGATTTCTTTGAATGAATCAATTAGTATAGCTATGTTTATCTGATTAAGTTTTATGAGTTTTTATAGTTACACCTGCAGGTACACCTGGCAGATAGGTGCACCTGCAGGTGTAGGTACCCAAGCAGGTCGCAGAAAATAATTGGATAGAAACAACCCAGAAACGCCTGCTGTGCTATTTTGACCAAGGTATACTTATCTTCTTCTAAGTACACTTAAATTGAAAACTACGCAATGATATTATGAAAATGAACTATGAATTTAATCGAGGCACTCGATTGCGAGTCTAACTCCTTAATCACGGTGGCGTTTGAAGGATCATAGAAGCGTAAGAAAATGGGTGTCCTTGTATAATAAACATGCAGTGGTAATACTTAAACATGTCTTGGAAAGTTCTTACTAACAATTATTGTTTGAAACATTCCTCGATAACCTTTTATAACAAACATAGAGCGGAAAAATAATACTAATATCTTACGTAAATACGGTAACATGCCGACATTCTGTTAGGTTAGGTCATGTGATTTCGTTATGAGCTACTGTACCCATCAAATTTGTACGGAATCAAAATCCATTGGTTTTAAGTTCCTCAGTGAGCTTTAAAAGCTTAGGTTTGGTATCTAAGCTTCGATTTTCTCTACTTTATTCTAGGAACTACAAATACATTTAGAACATAGGAATATTAAAGTCGGTAAAACTTCTTTTAGTGGGAAAAAAAGAACAGTTTAATATGTGTTATAGCATGTAGGTAATCTTAAAATATTATTGGCAGTTGAGTGATAAGGGCTAGGCTTTCGAAGCTATAAAGTCACGCAGAGATATGACAAAATAAATCACTTTATCCACAAGGACTTTGAACTTACATATTTCGGTTATTGTACGACTAGTCAGTAAAATTTAGTATTATGTATAGAAATACATAATGTAATGCTGTCGGTATACTTCGCCCCAGGAACTAAATTTTCCTTATCTAGTGACGTGCGTTAAATAAGTAAGTCATTATACTTGCTTCCTTAAAATATTCACAGGCTGATATAACAGTTATTACAGTTTTCGTTCGTTTCAGCCAAATGACGTCCACTGCTGGACAAAGGCCTTCCCCAAGGATATCCACAACGACCGAACGAAATGACAGTTTTAGTAGTTAAGAAGCAGTTGTTCACTTTTATGCAGCTTTTGTAAAAGAGGACGAGGAAAATTTTTCAGGAATGTAGACTGCATTGATAGTAGTCGCGATCTATAATAATAACTTATATCGAGAGCTTACATCAAATAGATGGTAATAATATCAATAAATGTGTGTGTCTCGCCGTGTGGTGACGGCAGAGTAGAATACATTTGTCACCAACCCCTACTCTTCCCGCGGGTGTCGTAAGAGGCGACTTAGGGACTACACAACAAACAGAGAATGGGCAGCAGCGCTCTCTGAAAAACATCAATCTTTTAAACTGCGATCTCCAACCCGCCTGCCAAGCGTGGAGATTATGGCAAATCCCTCCACCATAGTGGAGGAGGCTCATAGTCCAGCAGTGGACTGTAAAGGGCTGTTGATGATGATGATGAATATCAATAAATAGCGATTAAGATTAGAGTAATTGTAAAATATATGACTATAAATTGCATCATTTGGAAACACACTTACACTGATTAACCGTCATAATGGATTACGTTTATCGAATTCTTTTCGTATCTTTCAGGCAATTTGATAAGATTTCAGCGACCGGGCGCCAGATTTCTCCGTTCGGTAATTAGATCATAACTAAAATCATAATGACAATAGAAACACTTAGCAGTCTTCAAACACTGATAAAAGTCTACATCTCTAGTGATGAGAATAGACCATCTTTGATTGTGAAGTGAAAAGATCACTGAGACTGTTCCATGTCTGGTTTTTAACTGTTTTATTGGAGACCAAGTTCACGTTTGACCCCAATCTCAAAATAGAAATAATAGAAAGCATCTTTAAGATCACACATGCCAAAATAAATAACTAATTTACCCCCGATATACAGAATTTACAGGAATGCGGTGAGATAGACTCGAGTACTCGAGATGTAATGACACAGAACATTGTCAAAATCAATTGGCGCGAGCTAAAGAGATAACGCTAACCGTAACGAAGAAAGTAGAAAGGAGCAGGCGTGTCGTGTCGTGACGTTGTGTAACACTTCCTCGATCCTGGCGGCGTTCGGCGAACCTCCGCGGCTACGTCGCCGCTACGTAGGGCGGTGACGCAACCGCAGGTGTGCGCCGGCTTAAAACCAAACCCCGTCACCGGCACCACCAGATCACAACAGACCGCGTCCGAAGCAACACGCACGGAGTTACACGCTCGTGTTAAGTGAATACAGTGCTCAGTGATTACTTGATATTGATAACGATGGCCAAACTACTGTGGTTCGTGGCGTTAGTGGTGATAGTGGAAGCTGCACATGTACACCATTCCAAGTTCCGGAAAGGGACGGATGAGTACGAGTCGTCCGCTTACAAGAAAGGTACGTCGAAAGTTTTCAAAACTTTTTCCGCAACCTGAAATAAGTTTTAGATGTAAATTTTACTATAAACAGTTTTATTTAAATAATTTAAAAGCATCAAACGTGCAATTAAAGCTTTTATAACATTTGTAAAAGTTTTGAAAAGTTCGCAATAAGTTTAAAAACTTTTTAATTGTTGTGAAAATTGTGTTAACGATTTTTTTTTGTTTTTTGCTAGTACCCTGCTCTAATGATCACGATCGAGAGCGAAATGAAATCATGAACAAGTCAAGTTGTGGCGCCCCCAAAGAAGTTTTCGTACATCTAGCCCCTCAAGCCACATATGAACAGGTACATCTTCAAATATTTAATAACAATTTAAAACTTTTATTCTCTGACTGCAAGCTTACGGATTTGTTTTGATGAACTGATTTTATAAGCCGGTTAATATGCTTTGCTGGCTCTTTGATCTAATGTAACCGCAGCTGTCCCCGCCCACTTTTTTTCTGACCTGGTGCAATATCGGTGTTAAAAACACAATCATGATACGGAAAATTCTATTAGCTGTATGACATTATTAGGCAGTTGAACCTTGATAACAGCGAGACCTTTGCCCAACTGGTAAATTTTTTTGAATATTATTTTTCAATTATTGCATTATCATGCCTTCAATTTACTTGAGATAAGTATTTTATTAAGAATGTCATTAAATAATTACTTAAATAATAACTTCATTATGGGCGCTCTGGTTTTAATTCGTCCATTCATTGAACTCTTTACGATAGGCATTAGAGTATTTCGCAACTTAGAAAAATGTTACTTTGAGAAACCAATTAGCGCCTTCAGCGTGTCAGGTCGTGATGTATGACAGAGACATTATCAGTATATTCTAGAGCTGTGACACATAATATCAACAAGATACTCATGATGATTTTCTTTTATAATATAGATCAAGAAAACTTTTTAAACTTCAAGAAAAAATTAATAGATTTTGTGAAATTTGTTAAGATAATTTTCTGATAAGCACCTTCAGGCACGTATTGATATACAATCGCCAAATTAGTGATGATTTAATATGCACATAAATCAACACTTTTACCCGCATTTTTACTCGCAAAGATTTCACTTCTGGAAAAGAACACTATCTGCCGTATGTCTACTTACGGTAGTGAAAATTGAATTTTAAAATCGTAATACAAAACTGCACCTTTTTATAATATCAGTATCGATAGCCTATCCTGCGGGCGAAAAGATTCCAATTTGGGCAGTGATAACGCGTATCCGCGTCGTTAGGCACGCGTGAGAATCCGAGGCAACTATAGTGGAGGAGGCTCATAGTCCAGCAGTGGACTGTAAAGGGCTGTTGATGATGATGATGATGATGAGAATCCGACACAATGTTCTGACGTGATTGTACATCCCCAGGTGAGCCCAAGCGCGGTATGGGTCAAACGCTGCGTCGGGCTCTGCGACCACGCCGCCTACGGCTCCCGCTGCATGCCCACCAAAATCGTCCATAGGAACATACCCGTAAGTACCTACAACCTCAACCATCCCATTTCAACTTATCTAACCACACAAGTCACTAACCTCTTGTGAATATACTCCCTATTAATTTAATTCNGTTCGATTCCCGCACAGTACAAACATTTGTGTGCATGAACATATTTGTTTGTATTGGACTGGGTGTTTTCTATGTATAATAAGTATGTATTTACAAAAAAAAAAGTATTTAAGTATGTTTATATCCGTTGTCTAGTACCCATAGTACAAGCTTTGCTTAGTTTGGGACTAGAAGCGCAGTGTAAAATGTCCAAGGATATTTATTTATTTATTTATTACAAATAGCCCAAGGACACATACCCAAAAATTATGTTTGCACTTGTATTTTTATCCACCGTCAAAGTAATCAGCTCAAATGACACTGCTTATCACATTATCTGTTTATCTCTCCTCTGCTAATTCAAACGAGTCCTTGACACGGTTTCTTGTTGGCCTGTGTTTCTTGCGCAACTTAATGATAATAATGACATAACGCACTTTGATGATTCAGTCGTTTCTAACCGTGAATTTTTTGGCAGGTTCGAATATACAACGCGAAGACCAACAAAGCAACGTGCTCCACGTACAGGGTGGAGGAGCACGAGGCCTGCGGCTGCTGCTCGGCGTCGGGCGAGAAGTGCGAGGAGAATAGAGTGTTCAATCCTCGTAAGTGCTCCTGTCAGTGTCCGAACATGGAGGAGAGGCGCAGTTGCCTACGCAAGGTTTGTAAGATGATGGATGTCACCACTAACGTAGGTGTGGAAACACGCATGCATTTGTGTACCATCTCGCAAACGTCAGCACTTCCTTTTCTTTTAACATTTCGCTTCTCCTTCACTTTTTTTTTGTTTTCGATGTTGTGACTGTTGCAGAAGTCTACTTTGCAAATTGATTACGTTAAATCGATTCTCTTTGTATTTCTCGTCTTGCCAGCATCTTTTGGTGGATGAGAAAACAGATACAATCGAATATAGTGCAACTCGTCAGAGCTAACGCGTTCGAGTAAATCCTCGTCGTGTTACAGCGAGATGTCTCGTTTTGATTTTGTTTGCGTTTAGACATCCATTATCTTCGGATCTTGAGCTTTTGATGTACGAACCGCCTTAGACCAGTTGTGAAATCATTTTCTGTTGACTCAAACGCTATCTTTTCCTATTTAAACTCTTATCGACGCTAAAATGTTTTCGTAGCTAACACTATTTGCAATTAAATCGCATCTGACTGTCTGTTTTAATAGATTGTCGATGGTTTATGTCATCATTATTAACACTTGTGGCGTTTGTAACCAACAAGCATCTCGTCTAAGGCTATTATTTTATATATTGTTATCTAAGCGCTTAGTTAGAAGCAAAGTCAGCAAAGTCCTCTCTTTTTGTTACAGCGGAACCAGAATTTGAGGTGGAATCGGTCTAAGTGTGCATGCGAGCCGCGGAGGCGAGCGCTTAAGTGAGCATCCCTGACAAACTGTGACACGGTGAAACTCAGCTCGAAGGTGAACCAAATCTCAAGACAGTCGGTGAAGAAGACAGAATAGGTGCCTAGTCGACATCAAAGAGGGAACGCGTTGTGAAATTTTATAGACTTTATGACACTAGTTTCTAATGTTGACTGACTCGTGTGTCTTATTTTAGCTCGTATTAAAGAAAACACAACAGTATTATGTTTAGATGTAGGCTAGCTAATTTATTTATTGTAGGATAGTGAAAATTGGGGCCAAAAGGTGCTGTGAGTGATCCACTTTGTTTCGTAACTTTTTGGTGTTTAATGTAAATAGGCATTTGTACTTAGATAATGGACTCTCCAATATATTTGTGAATTATGTAGTTGTGTAGCTGCACATTTGTACGATTGACATCACTGTTCAGTATTTAGTTATTTTTATACGTATAGTTAAGTGATCGAGCGTAAATTTGCCTTTGCGCCATTCCTAAATTTGTGATATAGTAGGTTGTTATTCCATTTTCTATAATGTAAGGTAGGTAAGCATTTATCTAGTTCAATACTTAGGTTGTAAAGTATTTGCTACTAGTCAGACGGTTCTTTAAACTAATGAGTGCGTCTCTATCTTTACCGATTGCTCTCTTTCACTACGATTTTATTTTAAGTAATACGAATTTTAGTTAATTTAATTTATTGTAATGTCTTATTATTATGTGCTCATGATTTTCATGATTGCTTATGTCCATGATGCTTTGGGCATAGTTCCTCTGTAATTCAAGATTTTATTAATACTATGGGACTTAGTCTATAGTGCCAAAGGCATCGAATCTCATAGGTTTTAATATTTCCTATTATTTTAACTTATTTAGTATTAATTAAGCTTAAGAAGCTTTAAGTGATGAAATCACGACATTTCGATTTTGTACTGTATTTATGTCGAATATTATCTCAACTTAGAAAACAGCTGAATAATAAAATTCATACTTATTTTTATAATTTCTTGTTTCAATAGTTTCCTAATTTATTCCACGCGGATGAAGTGGCGACTATAAGTTCGTATCTAATACATACAATATAACAACTATTAGAGTAGGCGCACACCGTTGATTTTTAGTTGGTCGATAGTTGTGCCCGATTTTAATTTGTATGAAGAATCGGCCAAATCGAATCGGCGTAGTGTGCGCACTCCCATACATGCCCATACTGATCAACTGCCCGACTAAACTATCGGCCGATGAAAAATCAACGGTGTGCGCTTACTCTTAATAAATACATAACATCTAATAAAAGTAGTATCAATACAAAGATTCAGTGACAACAATAATATCATAGAAATCGTATGATATCGCCTGACAAAATATTCATATAGTCACGTTCAGCACATGTATACCGATGATTTTCGATGAAAGTATACGTGACAGCTCACAAGTACGTGTATGTAAGTATGTATGGACCGACGATAACATGGTGCTAGTCAAAACAACAAATACAAGATTATACTTCCCATATTCCCCACTTTAAAACGATTAAAGTCAATTGAAAGTTTTGAACAAATAATAATACACTTACATGGCAGATATGTACCATCATAGACTGCATCCCACTTAACACCAGGTGCGATTGGGGTCAAATACATGCCTTGTTGTAGGTACATACAAAAAAAATCAAGTACCTAGATACCTAATAATCTCAATCTTCAGCAATTTAGATAAATAACACACGTAAAAGTTCGATTGGTCCTCCATAAACCATAAAACAAAATAGACAATTTCAACTCAGTGAAAGAACTAATGATCCAAGGCCTTTCGATGCAGGCCTGTCTCTGCTTATCCATAAAGAAACTAATACTTTGGAAGGAACTTTAAGCTGTCCATTCGACTGAACTAGAGTTCGACTGAGCTAGTAACAAATAACTGAAAATGTGGAAACAGAAATGCAAGAAATCAAAAGCTTCTTTTGACTTTTTTCTGCTCGTTTGCCTCCTATCACATAAAAAAAAGACCATCACCAGTCGATTATCACCCCATCTCTTAAAAGTTATTAAAATCCCAACTAATATTATAAATGCGAAAGTAACTCTGTCTGTCTGTCTGTTACGCTTTCCCGCTTAAACCTCGCAACCGATTTTGATGAAATTTGGCATAGAGATAGTTTGAGTCCCGGGAAAGAACATAGGATAGTTTTTATCTCGGTTTTTGAAACAGGGACGCGCGCGATAAAGTTTTTCTGTGACAGACAAAATTCCACGCGGGCGAAGCCGCGGGCGGAAAGCTAGTTATAACATATTTTACTTTATTTACGGAACAACCTAAGGTTGTCCACCGTTTTAACAACATCACTACAGCCACAGTAGTGGATTTCAATGACGTAAATAAATGTATCAGTCGGCGACAGCGGAATCGCATGACCTAGGTCAGAGATGACCAGCCTTTTAGAGACCTACCACTGTCACATTTTCTTTAAATTGGACGGATAAAAAGTGACAGTAAACAAAAACATTTCAATTTTTTTTAATAGAAATGTTCTGTGATACTAGTCCTCTGTTCAGATAAAGAGATCGCTTTTCTGATTGCATGGAGATCGTTTAGTTTAGGTAGTAGAGAGCAAGTGATTATTTTAACTTAGATTCCGATATCGAAATAAAGCATTAGCGACATGAAGGCACGTTTCTGAATTTTACAGTAAAATATTTTATTTTTATTTTATGGTCGCTATAGCCGTCGGTTAATATTTAATAGCATAGCACCTACTCTACTTGAAATGCATTTTATATAGTAGGCTAGGCTTACTACCCCTGATATAGGAAATAGTTGTCGCATTTTCCTAGAATTTGTTTAGATCTCGGGGATTTACCTATCAAGAAATTTATCGAGCAATTTCCATTTTCCTCTCATATTTATAGTCGGTTAAATAATATGTAATTTATCAACAAGATTACACCATTTAATGGCAGATTTTCTATTGAATAAATTATGATGTAGGTATACGAGTATCTATGCAATGAATTACATTTATATTTATTGTTAGTTTACGATCAGGCTCTATATTCTATAGTGACTTTGTATGTCTCGAGTCATGTTTAAACTTTCTTTTGGTCAGAACTTCGACAAAGCGAGTTCCTAAGTGAGAGCATACTCTTCGCCTTTACGGACTGGATAGAGGAGGGCCAGGTGACTACCCGATGGACTCTACCTATTTGTCCCTAAGTACGTATGAACCATTTTACATTTTACTGTTACATGACCCTGATGATCTGACCATTAGCCGAAACGTAGGTAAAGACTACCTCAACAATATGCCCTGTCGGACGCATACGTTTGTCTTACTAATTGTTAGTTACTAAGTACCTATAGGTAACAATGCACATTGCCTTCTCTGTCAATAACTACGCAATTTTTTCAAACAAATGCATCAACACGGGTAATAACCTATCTATTTATGGAAACATTTCAGTTTCTTCCATGATGCAAATGAGTCAGTGGTCATGGAGACGAGCTTGTATGTGTGCGTGTTGTTTAGATGTACTTAGGCGGAATTACCGACAGTTAAGTCGTTGGTATTTCCAAGTTATCTCTTAATATTATAAAACAGCAACAGTTCCGTACTGGTGTATATTACGGATGTATCTTACGCACAATACAAAGTACACATATGAGCAAATATGAACCCTACACATAAAAAGGACATAGTCTTTTTAAAAACTTTAATACACAGTCAAACCACACTGTGATGAAAACCATCATTTGTACACAGTGTTTGACTCTGCTTTTCTTTTCTACTGCTTCGAAAACCATTTGGCAACTTGTCACATAGTTAGGGTAAACCGTATAGCTATTGCCCACTTAAAGATTTCAAACACATTGAGATGAAAAATTAAAGAAAGTATTTTAATTATCGACCATTTATGACTTTTTTCTTATAACTCAATAAACTGTTAAAGATAATATTAACAGTTTTTAGTTAAAACTTACGTAACTTAGAAAATATTGAAATAAATTTAAAATCCTCCAAAAAGTACAGTCATTGCCCATTACTTACACTAATTGCCCACATCAAAGCACAGTAATTGCCCAGTATCTTAAAACAAAATAATCAATATCAAAATGACAAAATAGGCTTTAAATAAATAAAACAAAACATTACACTTAAATTCTAGTAGTACAGTCTTCAAAATTTCAAAATAAATTGCGTTTGGCCTTATTAACATAAATATTATTAAATATTTCTTGCGCTGATGTTGATGAGTCAGAATCGGTAGAGACAGAATCATCTACTTCAAAACATAGATGACGCAAAAAATTGAATTTTATATGTATTTATTTTTTTATCTTCTTTGATATCAGTTCAAGTGGTTGCTCAGAATGTTCAATTAGCTGTTGGTTATTCTTCCCTAAATTTGTATCTATTTCCTTACAATTAACATTTTCACTAGTATATTTAACGTAGGTTTTTCATTTTTTGTATTTGCGTTTGAATTTTTATCAATTTTTTCAAGCCAAACCATATTTTTCAGCAATTTAACTTGTAGATAAATTGTTGGATACATCTTGTACAGCTTCGATCGCTTTTTGCAAATTTTCTATGCTATATTGAACTTTTGGAGTCTTTGGCATACTGAAAATGAAACATTAAAAGCCATTTCAATATTTATGCCTGTAAATTGCAAAACAAGTCTAGCAATGAGCAACTTAAACACTGTTACTGCATGGTGGCAACACTCTAATAATAATTGCCCTGGGCAATAACTATACATTAACATATGGCAATAACTGAAATGATGGTGGGCAATAACTAAAAATATACAGATTTACGTGCAGTGATTACCCACCGTTAAAATGACGGTTAGAAATCAAATTTTATCAGTTATTTTCATTGATAATGAAGAAAACACTTATAATTTAATCATGACTATACACCATTAGTTGAATATTAAATAACTTGGAAAAAAAATTTAACCTCTAAGCAAGTAATTCCTTAGTAAAAATGTTAAAGTCTTTACTTGTTTGAGTAACATTTTCACCCGTCTTGACAAAATCCGCCATAACTGTTTTTTTTTA